TCAAAAAGCCTCTACTATATTACTGAAAGCCTATCAGTAGGTCCTTGATGTCCAAGAGTTTAAGGTTAGTTGTACACATTTAAAGGACTCAAAAACAAAGTGTTAAAAGCTACTTGCAGTACATATTTCTTTAAAAAGGACTAGTCATGTACAAAGCACAATCCAGAAGAAATACTACATATAAAGTTGTCGACTACGAATTGTTTAGAACAGAGTGGGAAAGCTGTGGAGAATCATGTCAAACATTGCCGGTGGTGATTTTCTATGCAGCTAGCTGAATGTTTTCCCATGACAGTGGTGGATGAGCAAGGCTTAGAGTCACCATCTTCCGGGAAGATGGTGGACGTACAGGGGTATGCTAGATTTGTGTCTAAGAATGAGGCAAAGAGGCACCCCTCCAGAAATCATTGGGTGGGCAAGGAGACAATAGTGGCCAATAGACTTAGATGGTTTCATTAAGCATAAGACTTTTAAGGTGGTGAAAAAATATTTAGGAAGTGTTGGGATTTCATTATGTAAACAATCAAAAGGCAGGATGTTTTCAGTTAAGTTAACTAGCTTCATCCGGGGAAAGTGACAGCTAATCTTGTGAGCTATAGTTAAGAAAAAAAAAAAGCCAGCAATTGCAGTTAAAAATCAGCACCGACAAACTTTGTATTGTGAAAATCATTTGTAAACAATTCTTAAACCGAGGCATCATTTTCAAAGGATTTTCATTTGTAAACCGAAAATTACGTTAACCGAGGTATTCGAAAACCTAGGTACACGTGTGTGCGTGTGTATATATATGTGTGTGTGTGTGTGTGTGTGTGTGTTAGAGATATATATATATATATATATATATATACACACATACACACACACACACACTATATTGCCAAAAGTATTGGGAGGCCTGGCTTTACATGCACATGAAGTTTACTGGCATCCCAGTCTTAGTCCGTAGGGTTCAATATTGAGTTGGCCCACCCTTTGCAGCTATAAACGCTTCAGCTCTTCTGGGAAGGCTGTCCACAAGGTTTAGGTGTGTGTCTATGGGAATGTTTGATCATTCTTCCAGAAGCGCATTTGTGAGGTCAGTCACGGATGTTGGACGAGAAGGCCTGGCTCACAGTCTCCGCTCTAATTCATCCAAAAGGTGTTCTATCGGGTTGAGGTCAGGACTCCGTGCAGGCCAGTCAAGTTCCTCCACCCCAAACTCACTCATCTATGTCTTTATGGACCTTGCTTTGTGCATTGGTGTGCAGTCATGATGGAACAGGCAGGGCCATCCCCAAACTGTTCCCACAAAGCTGCTTGACCATGGAAACCCATTTCATAAAGCTCTCTACACACTGTTGTGCTTAGCTAAAGGCCACACAAAGTTTGGAGGTCTTTAGCTATTGACTTTCTTAACAGTTAGCGACTTCTGCGCGCTTCAGCATGCGCTGACCCTGCTCTGTCACTTTATGTGGCCTACCACTTTGTGGCTGGGTTGCTGTTGTTCCCAGTTGCTTCCACTTTGTTAAATACCACCAACAGTTGACCGTGGAATATTTAGTAACAAGGAAACTTCACGGGTGGACTTATTGCACAGGTGGCAACCTATCACGGTAAAATGCTTAAATTCACTGAGCTCCTGAGAGTGACCCATTCTTTCACAAATGTTTGTAGAAGCAGTCTGCATGCCTAGGTGCTTGATTTTATATGCCTGTGGCCATGGAGGTGATTGGAACACCTGAACCCAAATGATTTGGATGAGTGTCCCAATACAATATTGTGTGTGTGTATATATATATATATATATATATATATAATAATATACACACACATACAGTGGGGCAAAAAAGTATTTAGTCAGCCACCAATTGTGCAAGTTCTCCCACTAAAAAAGATGAGAGAAGCCTGTAATTGGCATCATAGGTAGACCTCAACTATGAGAGACAAAATGAGAAAAAAAAATCCAGACAATCACATTGGCTGATTTGAAAAGAATTTATTTGCAAATTATGGTGGAAAATAAGTATTTGGTCACCTACAAACAAGCAAGATTTCTGGCTCTCACAGACCTGTACCTTCTTCTTTAAGAGGCTCCTCTGTCCTGCACTCATTACCTGTATCAATGGCACCTGTTTGAACTTGTTATCAGTATAAAAGACACCTGTCCACAACCTGAAACAGTCACACTCCAAACTCCACTATGGTGAAGACCAAAGAGCTGTCGAAGGACACCAGAAACAAAATTGTAGACCTGCACCAGGCTGGGAAGACTGAATCTGCAATAGGCAAGCAGCTTGGTGTGAACAAATCAACTGTGGGAGCAATAATTAGAAAATGGAAGACATACAAGACCACTGATAATCTCCCTCGATCTGGGGCTCCACGCAAGATCTCACCCCGTGGGGTCAAAATGATCACAAGAACGGTGAGCAAAAATCTCAGGACCATACGGGGGGACCTAGTGAATGACCTGCAGAGAGCTGGGACCAACGTAACAAAGGCTACCATCAGTAACACACTACGCCGCCAGGGACTCAGATCCTGCAGTGCCAGACGTGCCCCCCTGCTTAGGCCAGTACATGTCCGGGCCCGTCTGAAGTTTGCTAGAGAGCATTTGGATGATCCAGAAGAGGATTGGGAGAATGTCATATGGTCAGATGAAACCAAAATAGAACTGTTTGGTAGAAACACAACTCGTCGTGTTTGGAGGAGAGAGAATGCTGAGTTGCATCCAAAGAACACCATACCTACTGTGAAGCATGGGGGTGGCAACATCATGTTTTGGGGCTGTTTCTCCGCAAAGGGACCAGGATGACTGATCCATGTACAGGACAGAATGAATGGGGCCATGTATCATGACATTTTGAGTGCAAACCTCCTTCCATCAGCAAGGGCATTGAAGATGAAACATGGCTGGGTCTTCCAACATGACAATGATCCCAAACATACCGCCCGGGCAACGAAGGAGTGGCTTCGTAAGAAGCATTTCAAGGTCCTGGAGTGGCCTAGCCAGTCTCCAGATCTCAACCCCATAGAAAACCTTTGGAGGGAGTTGAAAGTCCGAGTTGCCCAGCGACAGCCCCAAAACATCACTGCTCTAGAGGAGATCTGCATGGAGGATGGGCCAACCTACCAGCAACAGTGTGTGCCAACCTTGTGAAGACTTACAGGAAACGTTTGACCTCTGTCATTGCCAACAAAGGATATATAACAAAGTATTGAGATGAACTTTTGATATTGACCAAATACTTATTTTCCACCATAATTTGCAAATAAATTCTTTCCAAATCAGCCAATGTGATTGTCTGGATTTTTTTTCTCATTTTGTCTCTCATAGTTGAGGTCTACCTATGATGCCAATTACAGGCCTCTCTCATCTTTTTAAGTGGGAGAACTTGCACAATTGGTGGCTGACTAAATACTTTTTTGCCCCACTGTGTATATATATATATATATATATATATATATATATATATATTTTATTCTTTTTTTTTTTTTTTTTACAGATTCACATCTACAGGACATGATCAGTCTATAAAAGGTGGGTGATGTGGACTGCTCTCTTATACACAATAACAGACACTCTTATTTAGAAGCCTTTAAAGATAAGCTGAAATATGCTTCAAGAGGACATCTGAAGCCAGAGAGATTGATGTAAACACCATGAATGTATTGCAGATAGCATCTGCTAGTACTGTAGGAGGTAGCAGTGAAACTAAATGTTGTGTGCACAAATTATTGCAGCGTCTTCCTGCTTACACTTATCAGCTTTGCACAACTATTACTATTTTCTAAAGTGAAAAAGAAATTGGGCAAAACTAGTTTCAGCTGGAATTTCATGCTGAAGTCCTCCTGTTGATTGGCAGCTACTTAAATTGCCTTATTTGAAAAGCATGCAATGTGGATCAAATGAGGTGCAGACTGAATGACCACGGTCAAATTACCCGTCTTGCAGTTAGAGTAGTTTCAAGGATTGCCATCAGAGTAAACAACAGCTACGTTTTCCTGAAATCAACCTGTCACTGTATATTAACATTTCATAGTCCATCAATCTATCTATGCACCTAGCTCTAGCAATAAATGGGTATCTATCAGCAATTTTCACTTATATGCAGTGTGGATAAAATGAAACGCTTAGCATTCTTCTACTTCTGTTAGTCACGACAGACATTATTACTGTTAGTTTACTCAGGTTTTCAAATGCAAGTATGTGGTCGTTATGCATCAAATAAAATGATATGCATCTTAAAAATAGGAACATCACTTAATGCATTTTATAAAAATGATAATGTTCCTATCTCCGAAAATAAACGAGCTTATGGGTCCGCATACACTATACTGCCAAAAGTATTGGGCCACCTGCCTTTACACGCACATGAACTTTAATGGCATCCCAGTCTTAGTCCATAGGGTTCAATACAGAGTTGGCCCACCCTTTGCAGCTATAACACCTTCAGCTCTTCTGGGAAGGCTGTGCACAAGGTTTAGGAGTGTGTCTATGGGAAAGTTTGACCATTCTTCCAGAAGCACATTTGTGATGTTAAGCACCAATGTCAGATGAGAAGGCCTGGCTCGCAGTCTCCGCTCTAAATTATCCCAAAGGTGTTCTATTGGGTTGAGGTCAGGACTCACTCATCCATGTCTTTATGCACCTTGCTTTGTGCGCTGGTGAGCAGTCATGTTGGAACAGGAAGGGGCCATCCCCAAACTGTTCCCAAAAAGTTGGGAGCATGAAATTGTCCAAAATGTCTTGGTATGCTGAAGCCTTAAAAGTTCCCTTCACTGGAACGAAGGGGCCAAGCCCAACCCCAACCCTAACCCTGAAAAACAGCCCTACACCAAAACTTTACACTGAGCACAATGAAGTCATGCAAGTGTTCTCCTGGCAACTGCCAAACCCAGACACATACATAGGATTGCCAGACAAAGAAACACGATTGATCAATCCAGAGAACACATCCCCACCACTGCATTCAATGCTTTGCATTGTACTTGGTGATGTAAGGGTTGGATGCAGCTGCTTGACCATGGAAACCCATTTCATAAAGCTCTCTACACACTGTTGTGCTTATCTAAAGGCCACACAAAGTTTGGAGGTCTTTAGCTATTGACTCTGCTTAATAGTTAGCAACTTCTGCGCACTGTGCGCTTCAGCATGCGCTGACCCCCGCTCTGTCACTTCATGTGGCCTACCACTTCATGGCTGGGTTGCTGTTGTTCCCAGTTGCTTCCACTTTGTTATAATACCACTAACAGTTGAGCGTGGAATATTTAGTAGCAAGGAAATTTCACGGATGGACTTATTGCACAGGTGGCAACCTATCACGGTACCACGCTTGAATTCACTGAGCTCCTGAGAACGACCCATTCTTTCACAAATGTTTGTAGAAGCAGTCTGCATGCCTAGGTGCTTGATGTTATACACCTGTGGCAATGCAGGTAATTGGAACACCTGAATCCAATGATTTGGAGGGGTAACTCAATACTTCTGGCAATACAGTGCATCTCTGAGGATATACACAGAGGGATCTGAATTTCGTTTCCTTTTGTAGCCATCATTTTATAAATCGCTGTGCAAACTGTTGGCGCTATATAGATCCTGTATAATAATAATAATAATAATAATAATTAATTCTCTTCCCTTTGGATGTTAAAGCTGAAAGGGCTGAACCAGGAAAGAAAACACTTGTTTCCCATGAGACAACCAGAGCATTTTAATAATGCATCTCTACATAAAAGGCACCAAAAACAAAAATGTAATATATTGCAACTTACTGACCTCTAGATGTGGTGGCTGCATTGGTTCTCTATTTAAGCTTTTTTTTTCCCCTTTATTTTCACCTGTGTTCTGGCCAATAATTCACTTCCTGTATTACGGTGGCTACACTCACTACCGTATATACAGAGGAGCAGTAGAGCCACCATTTGACAACATTTCTGTCAATTTGTGAAGACAGCAGTTTTAGATGGACTAGAATGGTTTCTCCAAACTTTAGAAACAACAGGCCAAATTACTGCCCTTCAAACTTTAGGGGGCCAGACTGTGGCCAGTAGGAGTAGAAAATGCCCTGGCATCGGTAGGAGTAAACAATGCCATAGGCTTGGTGGTCAAAGGGAATTCAAAATTACATCATTGGTGTCAGTGAGAGGAATGGTGCCCCATCTCTTGTGTCAATGATAGGAATAGTAGTACCCCACTGTTGGTGTCAGTGGAAGAAATAGTGCTCCATCTTTGGTGTCAACAATAGTGCCTCATCTCAGTGAAAGGAAAAGTGCCCCAAGGCCAGGATAAAGGCAAGCAAAGGGCCACATCAAGCCCGTAGGTAGCAGTTTATAGACATCCGGACTAGAAGATTTAGGGGCAGATCTGATTTGCTCAGGAAAAGATCTGTCCACTAATCCCCTGCTGATCAGAGCAGAGCAGGGGGATGACAGGTCTGTGTTAGCTCAGTTAATGCAGAGCGGACATGGACAGAGCCCGCTCTGCTCTATGGGTGGTTGAGTGTATCTTGTGCCCGTTTACACCTGACTGCCATCCGATCCGATCCACTAACGTGGAGGAGATGGGATCACCTTCCAATTGTTTTTAGCAAACCAGATCAGAGGTAGGCGGTCCACAAGTCCTTTTTCACTCACTGATCCATAGGGATACCTTGGCCATCTGATCAGGACTGTCTGAAAAATTGACAGCTGGACCTGATCAAATTGCCCATGTGAAAAGGGGCCTTAGATGAACTTTACACAAGTAAAGAAAACAAATTAAGGCTCAGCTCAAGGTAATATTTTTTTAAGCAGATACAGTAACCGTTCTGTTTCCTGGGGAAGGGGGTGGAATGATTACAAGAAAACCTGAATCCTACTGGAGTTGCAATGTTCATATATTTTTTATAGGCATTCAAATGAAGTTCAGCTCAGCTGAACCAAACCACCCCCAAAAATGTTGACAAATGGTAAACCTGTTCTACATTGGCTTTACAAAATTCTTAAACGACAATCATTAAATTCTAGAGCAGTGCTCACCAAACTGTGGCCCGGGGGCACTATTCTTCAAATTGATATCAACAATGGGGTACTATTTTTCTCATTGATATCAATAATGGGGCACAATTTCTCCCATTAAAACCAATGATGGGGCACAGATTCCAGAGCTTTTTCTACTTCCACTGGCCATGGTCTGGTCCCCCTAAAGCCTGAAGGACAGTAAACTGACCCTTTGCTTGGAAAGTTTGTAGACCCCTGTTCTAGAGCATCGGCTTTTAAACATGCCAATCATTTAAACCAGTAGTCTGCAAACTGTGGCCTCTTGCACACCTTTATTCAGCCCTTGAGGCACTATTCCTCCAACTGATATGGGGCACTATTCCTTCCACTGACACCAACGATGGAGCACCATTTCTCCCACTGACACCAAAGATGGGGCACTATTCCTCCCACTGACACCAAAGATGGGGCAATATTCCTTCCACTGACATCAACGAAAGGGAACTAATATTTTTCCTAATACCAATGATGGGGCACTGGCTACGGTCCGACCCCCCTAAAGTCTAAACCACAGTAAAACAGGCCTTTTGTTTACAAAATTTGGAGACCCCTAATTTAAACAACGCAGAAGTGCATGTAGAACAGAAGACAGCCTGACCATATAAGTAATACAGCTCGTACAACTGTGGAAAAACATCATACTTTGTTTTGTGCTCTCGTTCTGTCTTACGGTTTAAAATCACTGAAGTTTGCAGACATTATAATAACAACCTAATAACGAAAGTTTAAGTAGATGCTGTTTTGCAGGTAATGTGCATACAATGAAATTAAGTTACAGCCAACTCACTTGAAGCCCAGCTGCTATGTTTTATATTTAATTTTATGTATTATTTTCCTGCAGGAATGTAATGGAGTTTGCATAGCAGTTACAAGCTGAAACACGAGCTGGTACAGAGCACTTTTAACAATTTAGCACAGCTGATGCCAAAAGTAGGTGTATCTACCTACAAGATAAATGTGGTATTCGAAAGCTGTAATTTGAGGAGTGTGATTTTTAACCTTTTAACCAGTCAATAACAGTTTAAATGGATTCGAATTGTGCCCATTAGGTTTTTTTTTTAAAAACAACATATATCAATACATGTTAAGTATAATGATATCGTAGAGGTATTTGGCTGTCATTTTTCTAGGTAACTTGCTTTGCCGCAGCAAATAACTTCCAAAATAGTTTTTTGAGACCGGGTCATAAATTAACAAAACTCTGAAGTGCACTGTGCTGAAACCTTCAGTACTTGACCAGTCTTTCTTGGTGAATCCCTAGCCCAGGATAAAGGGTACAACTAGACAAAAGCACCTCCTGTGCATGAGTGTGGTGGTGTTGTCGCACAAGTTCTTCAAATATATCTGCTTCTCCACTGGAACAATGGACACACCATGCTTTGCTGCCCTCTTAGGACTGGGGAAGCACAAATGACACTACAAAAATACAACAAAAAGAGGGCACACCAGCCTAGCGCATTATCCCAATGTACCCTTTATTGAAGACTAAAAATTAATCAACCCATAAACACCATGTCAAGCAAAGCTCATCAAGATATCAGAGTTAATCAGTCCACTCCACATGCTCTGGGGCTTGGGAGGACACTACCTGGATCTAAACTGGCTTATATGTTTTGAGGGTTATACTGAGGCAAAGTGGGGAAGAGGGTACGACCCTCGAAACACGTAAGCCAGTTTGGATACTGGTGGTGTCTTCCCAAGCTTAGAAGCATGCAGAGAGGACTAAAACTCTGATATCCTGATGAGCTTTTGCTTGACATGGTGTTAACGAGTAGATTTATTTTTATTCTTCAATAAATGGTACACTGAAATAATACGCTATGCCGCTGTGCTTGTTTTTTTTTTTTGTTTTTTTTTTTCAGAATAAAGGGGTGCACGAAACCCGCCTCATATTTTCAAGAAAGACTGACTTCTAGGATAGTCAACCTCCTCCTGGCTCCAGGAATGTGAAATGAAATATGCTCTGTTCACTGCCATTGATGTCTCCATTGAGTTCAATAGGAGTCTGACTTCTCTAAACACATGTCCCCTAAACCAGATTTCACAGCACTCCCAGGCAAAAGGTGGGTACAAAGAGGGATCAACTAGGTCACAACAACTGGACTAACCTTTGATTTTCCATGAGTCCCATCTAGGTGTGCATTTTGCATTCTACTACTTGCTGTTTGAAAGTAAGCTCTTGTTTGGGCACATGGTGTGGGGTGTAGAGTCTCAGCACAAATGGGCTTTCACCAGGGCACCTAAAGTATGCAACCTCTAAGTTCACTCTGCTCAACGTGCAGAGAATAACCCGCGCAAGCAGATATGGAAGCAATGCAGGAGTACAAGGGAGTCAGAAATGGGCAGTGGCAATAAGATGATTCAGGAAACAGGCATCAGGTCAAGGCAGGTAGCAGACAAATAAATCTCAGAGAGAAAGCTGAGGTCAGTACACAGGAGATCAATCATAGTAAACAGGCAGGAAGTCACAAGTTAAAGCTTGATGTAAAAGTTGCTCAGGCATTAAAGCACAGAAAGGAAGCTTCCTTAAATAGTCATGGCTCATGTAAGAGGCACTCACCGATGACCTCATTGGCCATGGCACCACCAAGAACCCAGAAGCCTGACAGCGTGGGAACGAGAAAGGTAAATGACAGCATCACTTTGCTCAATGGACTATGAATAAGCAAACCACTTTCCAAGTAACTTTAGGTAATGTTTTTGGAAGACTGACAGAACTCCTCCCCTTATTCTAGCAGTATTTAGAAATATACTTTTCTTTTTTAGTAAATGCATAACTAGAATGACATATATGTCTTTTACTGCAGTTCCACTTTAAAGATCTGATCATTCAAAATTTAGGTTGAGGTGGTGTTCTTTTGGTGCATTTAGACTTCCCCTATCCTTTAAAACTCAATTAGCAAAAATAATTTGCTTGAGACCCCAGCAAAACTGGCCAGCCATTGTGAACCCTATGATGATTCCTAGTGGATTTTCAATTTATTTAACATTATGGGGAAAGTAGGGGTGAGAGACCTCAAGGAGTGACTGTAGAGCCGGCAACACGCAGATTTTGCCACTCTAAAATCTCATTGTGCCCTAAAGTGTATTTCTGCTTTTGCAGTCAAATTGGGACCTACTTTATAATTGTTACACAAATCCATTTACATAGCTTACTTTACCTACTTTAAAGTGGTTCTAAAGGTTCAAGGCTTTTTACTTTCATGCATTCTATACAAGAAGGTAAAAACCATTGTGTGCAGCAGCCCCCTGGGTCTCACTGGGTCCCTCTGCTGTCAATCACAGACAGTGAGCCAATCAGGAGGAGAGGGAAGAGCCAAGCCGAGGTTGTGTGTGTGTGAATGGACACACAGCCGAGGA